TTGAGCCCTACTCCCCACCTCCTAAATCAGAAACTGCATTTCTAAGGAGATCAGCTGCGTGATTTGCATACATGTTGCTCCCAAGTTTTCTCTACCCCCTTGGAAAAAAGGTAGATGTGCATCAGCACTGGAGAACGTGTCCGTTCTACAAATCCTTTACTTAAATTCTCTTTGGGAAAGTCCACTTGGCATAATGCCTTGAATAATCTAAACAGTCTTGAGTCCCACCCAGCCCCGCCCTTCCCCAGGGACATTTGTGAAGTCTGGAGATAGTCCTTGTTGTCACAACTTGGTGGGGGGGCTACTGCCATCTAGTGGATAGAGGTCTTCCAGTGCACACGACAGTCCCCCACCACAAAGAATGATCCAGCTCAAAGTGTCAACAGAGCACCCAGAGAAGTGTCTCACTCACCACTGGCCGTCCTCCTCCGCCCACACACACAGCCTTCCTGCCGCACACCCTGGCAGCATCACAGAGGGAATCCCGGGCGATCAGCTGCACTCCTTTCTCTCCAGCATCAGTCTACAAGCCCTGCCTTTGTCTCCTTTGAATCTTTCTGTCCCCTCCCCTCTCCTCCATCTACAAGACCCCTGTGTCCTAGCTGATCCCTCGCCCTCTTCTCACCTCCTGTAGACTCCCATCTCCAGTTCATTCCCCTGAATCTAACCCCTACACCAACCCCAAAGGGGAACGTTTCAGACCCACCTGTGACCCTGTTCCTCTCCTGGGCAAAGCCCTTTCATGCTCCCATTGTCCTTCTAACAAAAATCTAAGCTCTTCAGAGCATTCACGGCTGTTGCCTACCTTCCTCGCCTCATCCGCGGCCACTCTCCCAGTGCCCTGTCACGACAGTCCCACCCAATCTGCATTCCTCTCAGTCCCTTGCTCCACAAGTCTCCTGTGGTGAAAAACATTCCCCTAATTGACTACCACTGCTCTAAAACCCGTTAGAAAAAGGACACCTGTGAAGTAGGGGGGGTTATGGATGCTCTGCTTCCATATAAGTGAGAAAATTGAGGCTCCAAAGGCAGGAATAACTTGTCCAAGACTGCCTGGCTGGTAGGTGGTAGAAATGAAAACCCAAACTTGGTCCTCCGACTCCAGGCTGTTAATCCCTCCCGCCTGCTGGACGCTTTAGACTTGAGCTGCCCAGTGCAGCAGCCACTGGCCCCACAGGCTACTGAGCACTTGACACGTGCCTCGTGCAAATTAGGGACTGGATTTTCAATGTTCATTTTCATTAACTTTATTTAATGCATATGTAAATTGAAAAACTAACACTTGCTTCTGTGATTGAAAACCTTGCAAGTAGTTGGGAAACAACTTGAGGATGTGAATCTACCTTTTCAACTCTCATTTTTGTGAACTCTAAATATGGATCAAGTACTTTCAGTGAAAATTTAGAATTTGAAATAAGATGTGCTGTAAGTGTAAGAGACACTGGACTTTGAAGACTTAGTACCAAAAAAAAGAATGAAATATAAAATAAACAAAATGTTCCTACTGGATAGCACAGGGAACTCTATTCAATATCTTGTAATAACCTATAATAAAAAATATGAAAAAGAATATATATGTATAACTGAATCACTATGCTGTTTTCCAGAAACTAACACAACATTATAAATCAACTATACTTCAAAACCAAAGCAAAATAAAATAAAAAGAATGTAAAACATCTAATTAATAATGTTCCATATTGATCACATGGTAAAAGGCTAATATTTTGGATATATTGGGTTAAATGAAATATTTTATTAAAATTGATTTCAGTTGATTCTTTTTACTTTTTTTTTACTAGAAGATTACAAATGAAAAATGTGGCTCACATCCTATTTCTACTGTGCTAAATCAGCTTCCCAAATCATTATTTCTTTTGATGTTTCCAGAAACGGAGGCAGGCAGACATGGTACATTTTACAAATGGGGAAACTGAGACCCAGGTCCAGAGTCAATGACTCATCAAAGACCACATGATGAATCTACGCAAGGGAGCAGATTAGGATCCCTGGGGTTGGATTCTAGATCCAATGCACTGAAGATGCCCTTGAAAGAGTGTGAGTTGAGAATCACTGGTGTTTTATTGTTGACAGGGTGACTCTCCACCCAACAGCTCACACCCGTTTCTTCCTCGCCAACAATCCTGATTCTATTCAAGTGGTGGGTGTTCATCCCTTGAGTGCAGCGAAGCTGTCCCTTCAAAAGCCCTAGGGGATGAACTATGATCTTGCTCCACCAGTCACGGATGTGTGCCCCAGTCCTGGCCACTGAGTTACACAGTTAACGGACATTTACTGGGAGGGTTTTACTCCTGGATACAATGACAATGTCTTGAGGAAGAAAGCCCTTTGTCTGCCCTCTACCTTTTTTTTTCCCTGCTTGGAATTCACTTTTATATGAGACAGTTTGGTTGCCATTTTGCAACCATGAGGTGACAAGTCTTAGGAAAACTGAAACATAGGAAGTTGGGGCTTTAATGATGTCGTTAATCCGCCACATGAATTCTGCAACCACTCACCCCAAGACTTCTTGTTATAGGCAAACATTAAATAAATGCCCTTTCCGCTTGCTTTCCTTTCAGCCTGATACTTGTAACCTGAAGCATTGCCATGGATGCATGGCTTCTGGCTCACCTTTTCTTGGCGTTTCAGGGAAGACTTCCAGAAAGCATGCTGACTGGCTCCCCAGTGAGGACGGGCCACCAGATGGAGGGTCTGGAAGAGAAATTACAAATTACAAGCCAGCTGACATCACAGTGGTAACTTAAAATCAGCCATGCTAGGAGTACTGACACCACAAACTTGCATTCTTTGAAACATCTTTTATACCTGTGCATCTGGCACGTTTTTAAATTCAATACCTATTTATTGAACATCTTCTATTCTTTCATGAATTCCCCCCCAAAATCTTAATTAAGTACTTAAGTATGAAAAGTGGGGTTTCCAAGCCAGCCAGGGTAGTTGAGGGTGAAGAGCAGGAGGAGGAGGGAGAAAATGAGGAAAGAATTCACGGTGTGGGGAGGGTACAGCTCAGTGGTAGAGTGTGTGCTTAGCATACACGAGGTCCTGGGTTCAATTCCAAGTACCTCCATTAAATAAATACATACATACATAAACCTAATTACCCTCCCCCCAAAATAAAACAACAAAAAAGATAATAAAAATAAAATAGTTGGGAAAAAAAACTGGAGAAGGTAGTGCCTTCAAGTTTCTGATAGGCGAGTAAGAATTTTCCTGGCAGAGAAAACAGAGGGAGGGCGCCCCAGATAGAGCAGCATGAACAAAGGCCGGGGTGGGAGGGGGTGGGGGTGGGGGTGAGTTCGAGGCAGGTCTTGTGAGCTCAGCGATCATCAGGAAGCAGAAGGGACCTGGGGGGCTGCCGCCTTGGCCGTCCCATCACCTCCTTACCCCTCACCAGGTCCTCTCTCTGTCCTCTCTCCCACAGGTCCTTCCGGTTGATCCGCTCGAAGATGCTCAGGGTCAGCAGCCAGGCCTGCCGGACCCCGCAGTGTGCAGCGAGCAGCTGGGCCATCTCCAGGGGACCCGCGGGCTCCATCCGCCCCCAGGGGATCCTGCCCTCCCCGATCCCTGCCGCAGTCCCCAGGTATAACTTGAACTTCTTCAGCTCCGCAGCCTCCAGTTCCTCCAAGTAGGCGCAGAGGCGACAGAGGCCGTTCCTGAGCGGCGTTGCGGGCATGAGGGCGTCGCGGACGCGGAGGAGAGAGGCTGGAAGCTGGGATGTTTCTCTCCCCGGGACGGGCGACGCCACATGCTCACCGCGGACCATCGCAGGCAGAGGCATGAAAGAGAGGAAAGGCTTCTGTTGAAATAGTGCTTCCTCCCCTTTCAGTTCCCGCCTGCCCTGCCCACGCTCGCCAACGGGCCACTTTGAAGAAGAGGAAGTTGGGAGCGATTGGGAAATCGCAGGGGGCATTCGACTGGTCAGACTTCCTTTCTGTTCCCTCGGACCCGCTCCCTTGACCACTCACTCACTCTCTTTCCTTTGTCATCGCTCCTTTTTCCTGGCCTCCCCGTGTCTGCGGTAGATAACTGTCAGAATAGTTACTGCACGACCCCCTCCCCCCACCGTGGGAGAATTAGACCTCCTTTCCTTGGGTATCAGACTGGGATGAGTTACTGCCATTAGCCAATCGAATGGGAGCCAACGGTATTGTGAAATGTGGGCCAAAATGAGCAAATTTCTCTTCCAGATATTTTCTCTTATAGATGAGGAGATAGAAGCCCAGAGAGGCACATGGATTCTCCAACATCACACAGCTAAACAAGAACAGAGCTAGACACTGGATCTCCTTCAGCCCACCAGGCTGCCCTCTGGTGAATTAAAAGGACGATCTGGAGAAGGATGCTCCCCAAATGCTTATCAGTTGTTCCTGCTGGGGCGAGATTTAGGTGGGGTAGGGAGAAAGGAAGGATTTTATAACTGTGTAGTGTTTAAATTTTGTAAAATAAGTATGAAAAACTTTTATAAGTAAAGTTTACAAAATCATACATGAATACACTCATATTAATATTTTAGATTAGAGCCCACTCTAATGACCTCACTTAACCTTAATTATCTCTTTAAGGCCCCATCACCAAATGCAGTCACATTCTGATGTTGTGGGGTTAGGATTTCAACATGTGAATTAAGAACAGGGAGACACATTTAACCTGTAAGAGCTGTGGCCATCATTTGCTTCCCAGCAGCTAAAGCAGTGTCTGGAATACAGTACGTGCTCAATTATATTAGATGAGATATTTAATGAATGAATCACATGTACATGTAATATTTATGTGACCCAAGAGGAATATTTTTTTTTATTTATACCAGAAATTATCAAAAGGAGTGCCCAGTATCTCTTTGGGGAAATTTTTTTTTGTTGTTGTTAAAATACTTGAAATGAAAAAATTAGACTTTAACATTTTATTTACTTATTTTGTTTATGGGTTGTTTTTTGGGGGAGTGCTTTTTTTGGGGGTAGTAATTAGGTGTATTATTTATTTGTTTAGATGGAGGTTCTGGGGATTGGACCCAGGACTTCATGCATGCTGAGCTATACTCTCCCCCAAGAAATTAGGCTTTAAAGGCATGTCTCATCTATGAGTGGTGCTGACTGGATCATTATGCATGAGAAAGGAAATACGGAGAGAAATTGGAAAGAGGAAAGAGAAGAGAGTGGGGAGGGGAAGGGGGTCAAAGGATTCTGTGAGATGAGAATACCTTCCCTTGATCCGATCTCTCACTTTCATATGAAAATCATGAAATGATTGATGTAGGAGGATGTCTTATGGAAAGTTGTGAAGGATTTTTTAAATTGTTATTATTGGCCTTGTTTGATTAGGGGTATAAAACGGTTGGTAGAAGCAGGAGACAGAGCAAAGCATGAACATGTTATTTCACCAGAATTCATATAAATGGTGGCTCCTGTGGGTAGCAGGGAGCCCGTGGATGTTTCTGAGCACGGAAACAACGTGAAGAAAGTGTTTTGGGAGATGACTGAGGTTCTGCTGTCTTTCCAGGGACAGTGGTGCAACGCGGACATCCGCCAGCCTTGACACATCCCTCTCCCCGCCCACCCCAGCGCCTCAGCACTTTGCTGGCTTGTGAGTCTAGAAAAGTCACCTAACCTTCCTTCTGAACCTCTAAGGGCTTGGCAAAATAGTGAAGAAACAGGACACAGCGTAAGTCCTTACACAATCTATGTAAACTGGGAATTTCAGAAATGAGGTGTTTGGCTCTGACCCTTAAATGTGACATACTTTATTTTTAGTTGAAGTATAGTCAGTTACAATGTGTCAATTTCTGGTGAACAGCATAACGTCCCAGTCATGCAGATACATACATATATTCGTTTTCATAAATGTGACATACTTTAATTTTCTTTTTAAAAATTTTTTAATTAAAAAAATTTTTTTAACTTTAATTAAAAAAAATTTTTTAATATACTTTAATTTTCTACTCTCATTTCCCTCTTTCCTCAACCACCATCGCCTCTGGAAGTCTACGTATTCAATTGCTATTGCTGCTGGAAGACAGGTGAGGACAGATACCCTGGAGGGAAAGGGAGGGATCTGTGAGGGGCAGTAATGTTTTCTGGACTCAGAATACAGCTGGATTCATATATAAAGAACCTAGCTGTAGAAGTTAAGGAGCCGGCGGGGAGGGTGTGGCTCAGTGGTAGAGCTCGCTTAGCAATCATGAGATCCTGGGTTCAATCTCCAGTGTCTCCATTAAGTAAATAAATAAACCTAAGTCCCCCCAACAAAAAAAAAATTTTTATTTTTGAAGAAGTTAAGGAATGGAACTGGGGTTACTGATCATTTCTGGGTACAATCTCAAAATCATGTCCCCAGTCAGTGTTTCTCCAACTCAAATGTGCCTGTCAATCACTGGGAGATCTTACTGAAATAAAGACTCTGATGCAGTGGGTCTGAGGTCCTGCATTTCTAACAGGCTCTCAGGTGGTGCGGCTAGTCCAAGTCCTTTGCGAGGAGCCAAATTTCTGTAAAGGACAACCCTCATGAAATGTCTTCAGAAGGTCTCAGTAGAGAGCAGATGTGAAGAAATAAATAAAAGGGATTTATATGAATGAAAAAAAAATGTGGGGTAACTTTTGGACTTTCTAAGTCCTTGGAGTTGAGAGTTTCAGACGTCAAAGGTGCCTGAGCTGCTCTCTGGGTGACATTCATTTAAGCAATTATTCAGCACCCACTGTGTGCTGCTCTTCAAGGTGCCAGAGACAGTCCTTAAAGGATGAACAAATTCTCTGCCTTTATGTGTTTTGTTATCTAGTAGAGATGACAGACAGACACAAATCAACAAATACATAGGCTTTTGTGTTTCAGATCATGACACATACTACGATGGGAAAAAATACAGGGTAGAGAGTTGAGGAAGATTTGCAGAGGGCGTGATGCATGAAGGGAGTCTTGAAGAATGAGAATACTTCATCAGAGGAGGGGCGACCGCCTGTGCAGGTCACGGGACTGGGTTGACAAGGTGGGGGGTGGGGGAACTGCTGAAAGTTCAGATGCGTCTGGATTATAGAAGGGGAGTAGGAAGATATCAGGAGATGAAGTCTGTGATGTAGTCAGGAGACATTTTGGACACCTTCCATGATGCTTGGACTTTATCCCAAGAGCAATGGGGAGCCATGGAGTGTTTATTCGTAAGTGCAGTAAAATACACAGTCTGTGAAATTCACCATTTTAACTACTGTAAAGTGTACAACTCAGGGACATTAAATCTATTGGCTATGCTTGCAGTCATCACCACTATACATTTCTAGAACTTTCTCATCACCCCAAAAGGAAGCCCCATACCCATCAACAGTCACTTCCTATTTCCCAGTCCCCCAGTCCCCTGGGATACCTCCAATCTACATTCTCTCTCTATAGATTTGCCTATTCCGGATATTTCATATAAATGGAATAATTCAGTAGGTGAATTTTGTGTCTGGCTTTTCTACTTAGCTTCATGTTTTCAAGGCTCATTCTTCTTACAGCATCTGTCAGTACTTCACTCCTTATTATGGCTGAGTTATGCTCCATTGTAGAGTATGCAATGGTTTTGAGCCGGGGAAGGATGGAGTCAGATCTGCCTTAAGAAAGATGCTTCAGGGCATGTATCCAGAGGAAACTCTAATTCCAAAATATACAGGCACCACAGTGTTCATAGCAGCACTATATACAATAACCAAGACATGGAAGCATCCTAAATGTCCATCAACAGATGACTGGATAAAGAAGATGTGGTATATATACAATGGAATATTACTCAGCCATAAAAAGAATAAAATAATGCCATTTGCTGCAATATGGATAGACCTGAAGATGGTCATACTAAGTGAGGTAAGCCAGAAAGAGTAAGAAAAATACCATATGATATCACTTATATGTGGAGTCTTAAAAAAAAAAGACACAGACTTATTTATAAAACAGAAACAGAAAACAAACTAATGGTTACCAGGGAAAAAAGGGAGTGGGCAGGGATAAATTGAGAGTTCGAGATTTGCAGATACTAACCTATAAAAGTAGATAAAACAATCAGGTCCTGCTGTAAGCACAGGGAATTACATTTAATACTTTGTAGTGGCCTATAATGAAAAAGAATATGAAAAGGAATATATTAATGTAGTATATATATGTGTGTAAATGAATCACTATGCTATACACCAGAAATTAACACATTATAAATTGACTCTACTTCAATTAAAAAATTAATTAATTATTTTAAAACAGAGGATGAACCAAAGGAGGAAGGTGGTGGCAGAGGATGAACCAAAGGAGGAAGCCGGGAGCCACGGGTTAAGGGGTCTGAGCTGGGACAGTGGATGTGTTTGAGGGATATGGGGATGAGCAGCAAAAATTCTCAGGCAAGGGCTGAGGAAGAAGATGTTGCTAATCTGAATTTTCTAGGGGTTAAAGCTGAGCTTCCCCCAGTGATTCATTCATGATCTGAACTCCTTCCCCACGGTGTCCCCGGAGGGAAAAGGCACATTTCCAGGAATTCAGAGGGGAGGACGGAGGGAAGCTGAACTCATAGGTCACTCCTACATCCTCTTTCAAGAAAGCCCTTCTTTCTCGTGGGAAGAAAGAGAACTGTCAATTTCTGGGACCTTCTGTAGTGGTCGTTTCTGGAAATACAGGAGTGAATCCATCTCCACCCGATTTCAAGGGACTCAGAGTCTAAAGACACAGAGGGACAATTTTTCAAGAAAGCCAGTTCAGGAAACACAGAATATGCTTCCTGAGACTTCTTTTTTTCCCCTCACCAAGAAAATATAATTTCCTGCTTAAAAAAAAAGCCATATCTTTATTGTAAAACTGTCCACGGTGTTAATAAGTGGACAAAATAGAAAGAGGTTAAGGAATTTTTTTATTTTGTAATGACAGGCCTTGGGATTGGTGTCAAGGATTGTGTATGTTTGGAAGAGAATTTTGACGAATAGTTTGGAAGACGGAGAAGAGTTTTGAGTTAAAAGGAGGGAAGACAGCAAGGTCCTACTGTA